TCCAATTATTTAAGGTTTCTTAACATCTAGTTATCGTCCTTGTAATTTTGTGATTTAGTAATTTAGTAGCCGCATGTGGCTACGGGATACGGTCATTTTCAAGATTCCCAATTTGGCCCCAGATCATTGCATATTTATCCAAAACTTGTTATTTAACACACACGTCACAAACACATATCTCAATGTGTAGTGTCAAGTTGTAAATGGAATTAAGTTGTGCATATCTCATTATTTTGTTACTATGTTTAATTTGTTTTCATCAATAATAGAAGATTATGATCCTGTTGTGCGTGTAGTGTGTACGTTTAAGTATTATGAAACATTTTTTAGGCTCTAATTATACTTCCTACATAGATTTTAAATTTCATTTTTATTACTAGAAATAAAAAAGACTTTATTCGATATTCTATAATCTCGATTACATATTACAAAACGCTGAAACTTTAATCAAAATATAATAACAACTATTTTTAAATTACGAAAAAATTTGGGCCTCATTAGGCCCATGTATTGACCAAAAAAGTATCTAATTCTTATAGGCCCATCCCAAGATGATCTAATCGGGAGAAAATTGCGAATTTCCATATTGTGAACTGAAACCTTAGAGCTGCGCATCGACACTGAAGACTGAAGAGTAGTTTCCGATGGCGACTATTCCGATGGATATCGTCGACGATTTGTTCCTCCGTCTCCCGGCGACTGCGTTGGTCCGATTTCGCTTGCTCTCGAAGCCTTGCTTCTCTCTGATCGAAAAGCCTGATTTCGTCGCGTCTCATCTCAAGCGCACACTCGAAACCGGAGACAACCTCATGATCTTGCTCCGTGGTCCTCGCGGTCTACGTACGTTCTACCTCGAGTCACCGGATAAAGTCTCCGACGTTGAGCATCCTTTGCAAACCGGAGGTTCAACAGAGGTTTTTGGTTCCTGTAACGGTTTGGTAGGTTTGGTTAACTCTCCTGTTGAGATTGCGCTTTTCAATCCATCTACAAGGAAAATCTTCAGGTTGCCGTTTGAGTGTGTTGATTTCCCGGAAAGTACGATCACTCCCGAGCATGTGTTCTATGGATTAGGGTATGATTCAGTGAATGATGATTACAAAGTTGTGAGGATGGCTCAGTCCAAGCGTGACCCAACCAAGAGTAGATTCCGTTTCCCTTTAGAAATCAAAGTTTTCAGCTTGAAGAGGAATTCATGGAAGGAAATTTATCTTCGTATGGATGTTCAGGTTCTTTTCGTTATGTTCTATTACCATCTCTTGTATCGCCGTGGAAATGCTGTTTTAGCTAGTAATTGTCTTCACTGGGTTTTGCCTCGTGGTCGTGGTATCGCATTTAACGCAATTGTAAGCTTTGATCTTGCTGCTGATGATCTTGGAATCACTACTTTCCCAATGAAACTTCGCTCTAAAGATAATTTGGATATTGGTGTGTTAGATGGCTTACTTTGTCTGATGTGCTACGAGCTTAGCCATGTTGATATTTGGGTTTGTACGGAGTACAAAGGTTATGATTCGTATGCGTGGACTAAGCAGTTTAAGGTGCCGAAACCGGAGGATGTAGAATCGTTTGAGCATTTGAGACCTCTGATGTATTCCAAGGACAAGACCAAGATCTTGATGGAGATAAACAATGCGAAGAATCTCATGTGGTTTGATTTGGAGAGTGAGACGTTTACAAAGGTTGGCATAAAGGACTGCGATATTCCGTATAGCGCAGAAATTCTTGTGAGTAGCCTTGTTTTGGGATGTAATGGAGATCTTCCCAAGAAAGAAGCCAGAGCTGGAGGAGATAAAGTGACGCAGAAGGGAAACAAAAAGGGGTATGCTCATCTCTAGCCACTGCTTTTTTTACTCATTTTTTGATTCATTGATCAAATTTTAGTTTCATTGATAAGACAAGAAGGTAAATCTGATTAACTATGCATTTTGTTTCATTGATAAGGCAATAAGGCAAATCTGATTAACTATGCATTTTGATTCATTGATAAGGCAACAAGGCAAATCTGATTGAGTCTTAGGTATCTTCATTCTTTGATATGTCAAATGTATAAACATGTTTAAACATCTTTTATTACAATCTCAGGGGTGGTTTTCTATCCAAGGGATTCAAGCTGAAGCTATGAGCAGAGCAGGGGAACTTTGCAGTCCAAACCTAGATCAGTGTAAGTGAAATGACTCTAATGATCATGACTGTTTCCCTCAAGTTGGTATTATTTTTATATTAAGCCCCATCTTCTTCTATTTCCGTTCTGAGATTTCCAATCTTAACCTACTATATACATTATTGGAAGTCTTAGCTAGTGGAAGTTAAGAGTCAACATCATTGGTTAACGTTTACACAGTATAGGAGAAATCTGACTATTTCAAGTGTTTTGGAGTTTGATACATATCTTGACTTGGGGTTTGATTTTCAGGTGCAGGCTAATGCGGAAAGGAAATAGCATTAAGCAACTTCATCAAATCGTAATTCCATATTAGGTATTCTTAGTAGTAACTCGCTTAGTCTATGTACGTATTATTAATGTCTTAAGAGAAGATACTCGTTTAACCCATGTCTTAGTATTAGTGCTCTGTTATGTGTAAACCGTTTTGAGTTTGACTTATGCTTCGAATCTCAAAACAAAAAAAAATCCAAAATCGTCGTTGGTATTTGCAAATTTTAAATCCAAAGTAACAATGTCAAGATTCATGGACCAAACCCATTACGAGTTATGTGCACACTTGCTTTTCAATAAGTCGTACCATTTACCATCAGACATCCCATGTGGTCGAAACGAATTAACGAAGAATTCGTATACTTCTTCTACCATCAATTCTAATTTCATTTATCGTTTTAGATGATAAAAACAATGTTTTCAAATACTAATCTGTTTAGATATAAACAATAACGGTATTAGTTCACTTCAGACTATTAAGCGACGTATATCTTAGTCGGAATGGTAATGTTTTGTTGTCAACATATTCAAATAGTTATGTAAAAGAACTCG